GGTTGGTGGGTACGGGGGCCCGGGGTAGTTGTCAGTGGGGAGCTAAGCCTAGACAGTGACGAATCACAGGAGCACGCGGCCTGTGGGCGGAGCTGGGTCTCGGCGGGGGTCCCAAAAGCGGACTTGGGGTTGGACAGAAGGGGATGTGGGCGGGGGCGGGCCCATTTAGGACCAAAGGTGGAGTCCGGTCTCCCTCCGCCTAAACTGAGAGGAGAGTCCGGGGTCGCGGGGCGGGCTCCCAGTGTCCCGATCTGGAGAAGGAGGCGTGACCTGGACTAGGACTGGGGCAGGGCCGACCCGGGATTGCAGAGTCTGCGGGCTTCCTCACCGGGCTCCTTCTCTCCTTCCAGGAGTGCACAGTCTGCGCGTGGCCCGGGGAAAGAAGGTGGGTGAGGCCGAGGCGAGGTGGCTGGGCCAGAGGGGGGCGGCTGGGGAGTGAGATCCTGGTTTCCCTCACTCCCCACCCCGTCCCCAGAAATACTTCATCATCATGCAGAGCGTCTTCTACCCAGCCGGCCGCATCTCTGAGAGGTGAGTCGGCGGGGGCTGGCGCAGGGCCGCGACCCCCCCGGAACGTGCCACTGGATAGATGGCCAGACTGAGGAAGGAGAGGGCCGGTCCCACGATCTGATGGACCGGAGGCGATGACACCCAGGACAAGCAGGCTCCTCTAGGCGCTGGGTGGAGCCTTTCGTATGCATTGCCTTCCTAAATACAGAGCGACGCTGAGGGATGGTGCTGTCATCATCCTCACCTTACTAATGAAGATCTGAGCCAGGGGGCTGCCCCGCAGCCTGTAAGAGAAGGCAGGAATTCAGGCCCAGGCTTCACAGAGCCCCAAGCCCCTCCCTGCCCTGCCTCTGCCTGCTGGTCCCGGGCAGCCCCCACAAGGCCATCCCGATTTCCTCCTGCTAGGGTTGATTCTGCATCTGGGACCGGACAGCCTCAGGGATGACTGAGAGGCAGGCATAGGCAGGGCTAAAGCCTGGCCCAAGGCTTCCAGAGGCCTGAGTTCAAATCCCAGCCCTGCCTTTTTCTTGCTATGAAACTTGAACAAGTTGGAGAAACTCTCTGAGCCTTAGTTTATCTCTAACATGAGGACAGTAACAGTCACCCAAGGGAAGCTCTTTCTTTCCTTTTGTAGTTTTAGTGTTTGCTATAGGGCACATGCACTAACCAGAGAGAGAGAAAATGAGAAATCATCCCCCGCCCCTCTGGCCACACTGCAATCCCTTCTCCTCCATTCACCTCTCGGGATTTGGGGCACACACACACACACACACAAGCGCCACCAGGTCCTGGACTTGAACTGCACAGTGGGCCATGTGAGATCCAGCCACCTTAACCAGCCGGCCCCGGGAAGCCCTTGCGAGGTTCCCTGTGTGTCTCAAGTCCGAGTGAGGCCACATCCTGTCCCCACCTCCCAGGTATGACATCAAGGGCTGTGAAGTGAGCCGCTGGGTGGAGCCAGCCCCTGAGGGAAGCACCCTTGTCCTGGTGCTAAAGGATCTCAACTTTCAGGGCAAGACCATCGAGCTGGGTGAGCCACGGCAGCCCCTGCCTTCTTTCCCATTCAGGGTGAAGTTTGGAAGGGGGTCCTTGGTACTGTCCTCGGCCTGAGTCCCTAAGAGCCCAGAGTCTGGAACCAGGTCAAATCCTGGCTCCATGCTGTCCTATTATGGAGCAGATCACAGCTGCGTTTCCTTGTTTGCGGACGGGGACAGTGAGGAGCCCGGGCCCAGTCCCGGGAGCGCTGTGGCTGGCACGCGGGCAGGCTGAGCGGGCGCCGATGCTCCCGCAGGGCCGCAGCGCAGCTGGCTCCTCCGGCAAATGGAGCTGGACACCGCCTTCCTCCGGGACCTCAAGGAGCTGGACTACAGCCTGCTCATGGCCTTCCAGCGCCTCTGCGAGGACGAGAGGCACCCGGGCAGCAGCCTCCTTTTCCGCACGGCCAGGTGAGCCCCCGACAGGGGCAGCCGCAAAAGCGAGGCGATAGGAGCAGAGGACAGACATGGGAGGTTCCAGAGCGTTTGCCCTGTGTGGGGACAGCCCGGACAAAGACTCGAAGGCTGGAAAGTGCAGTGTGTGTTCGTACGTGTGCACGTGCGCGCATGTGTACACGCGTGTATATACATGTGTGTGGGTGTGTTGGGCGAGCTTGGAGAGCTGGTAGGGGTGGCGGACACAGGGAGACCAGAGCAGGGACAGAACAGAGGTCCAATTGGACAGGGGTGTCGATGTCGATTTGAAGAATTGGCCCATTTTCCAGCAGGGGGTGTGGAGCCCTTGAAGGTTTCAGAGCAGGACGAAGATCTTTTTTTTTTTTTTTTTTTTTTCTTCGCTAGAGCCCTTCCTCTTAAACTCAATCATTCGATTTCCCAGGCTTTCAGGTTACTGGTTTTGATTCCGGTGCCTGGGCGGGGCTTGTCTCTCATTGGCTTATTTCCCCAAGACACAGGCTAGATAGGAATAAATTCCTCAGCGGCTTCCAAGGACAAAGTTAGGGACTTGAACCTGCTCCTGCTGGGACTGGGGGTCCAGCCAAAGGCATCTTCTGACTTGGGATACACTTTGAGGCAAAACCACACACACCATCTGCAAACTGAGGTTGTTGGGCTTTCTTTGTTCACAAAGCCGCAGCTCTGCGACCCCAGGCTGTGGGGATTGAAGATCCCAAACAGAAGTAAAGGAAATACCAGAATAAGGAATTTACCCAGTCATGTGGCACGTCTGGGTAAAGCCAGGGTCTGAGTGACCCAAATGCTCTAAACCAGCGCTACCCAATAGAAACAGAATTCCCGCTGCACATGCATATAATCTTAAATGTTCTCATTTAAAAAATAAAGAATTGTTTAATTTTATTTATTACTATTTTAAAATTTGCTATAGGGCTCGTGTGCTCGAAAGAGAGAGAGAGAGAGAGAGAGAGAGAGAAGAAAGTGAGAAAGAAAGCCACCAGGTCTGGGATTGCCTTCGTAGTTGGCCATGTGGGAGTCCAGTGCCTTAATTAACCACCACCATGCCACTGCTGGCCCCAAATGTTCTAATTTTTTTAAGTAAAAAGAAACGGATAAAATTAATTTTAATAATGTAATTTATTTACTCGCTACATCCAAAATGCAGTCATTCTACGTTGTGAGACTGAGCGAGGGAAGCAGTGGGTCCGTCTGGCCAGGCTCCCAGGGTGGGCTGGCTGGGGCTCCCTGGCAGAGGGGGCAGCCTAACCCTCCTGTTGGTCCCCAGGTCTGTGCAAGGGGCACAGAGCCCCGAGGAGCCTGGAACCCAGAACCGCCGGCTGCTGCCCGACTCACCCAACGCCCTACACATTCTGGACGGGCCAGAGCAGCGCTATTTCCTGGGCCTGGTGGATCTCTCCACGGTCTACGGGCTCCGCAAGCGGCTGGAGCACCTGTGGAAGACTCTGCGCTACCCAGGCCAGACCTTCTCTACCGTCAGCCCGGCTCGCTACGCCCGTCGCCTTTGTCAGTGGGTGGAGGCGCACACCGAGTGACCCGCGCCTGGCCCCACTTTTCCCATCTGGACTGCCGGCACAAGCCAGGTTCCCACCCGGCCTGGGCAGATCGCCTGCTGTTTCTCCCGATGGCCACCAGAGGGCAGCATCCCTTCAATACTGAAACAATGGTGCCACATTCGATGGTGGTGCCTGGCACCGTGCTGGAGTCTCACATTAGCTCATTTAACCCTCAAAATCTGCTGTTATTCTCTTTTTACAGACCGTGAAATGGAGGCTCAGGGGGTGAAAGGACTGACCAAGAGCATCCAGCAATAAATGCTGGCACCAGGACTCAACCCTGCCTTTAGGACTTCAGGACCTGTGTCCTTAACCACCTGCTCCGGCAGCCCTGTCCTCATGGTCTGGGGAGGTGGGGAGAGTTGAAGGCTCCAACCCCCTTGTTGTCCAGATGGGGAAACTGAGGCTCAGAGACTGAAGGGGCTTGTGCATGAGTAGGTGACAAGGTCCAGCACTGAGAACCCTGGTCTCCTGACTCCCGGCTCCTGGTCCAAGCAAGGTCCCACTTGCTTTCCTGTGGGGCGTTCCCCCAACACTCCTGCACCTCCAGGGATGCAGGCAGGAGATGGCACGGGGCTCTGGGAGGCACCCTAATGGCCCCCACTATCGATTTCTGGTGAGCTCACCTTCATCAGGGAGTCCTTTTCCGCACCTGTGAAATGGGGACAAGGTCAGTGTTCAGACCACAGGTCCTGGCTCACAGACATCACCAGGAACCTGCAGAGGCCCTGCCCACTCCTCCCTCCTCCAGGACGTTCCGGCCCAGCCTCTGACCCCAGTCTAATCTGACCGTGCCCAAGTGGGCCTTTCCACCAGAGCTGCTCTAGGCCCGGCTGTGTGACCAGGGCAAGGTGCTACACCTCTCTGTGCCTAGGTGGTCTGAGCTGTAAAATGGAAAGGACGAAATGACCTCATTAAGTCATTAAATATTTTTTGAGAGTTTTTTTTTGCTATAAGGCACGTGCACTCGCCAGAAAGACAGAGAGAGACAGAAAGACTACATGGGAATCCTGTGACACAGCCATTAGGCCAACTCCTGTTCCCAAGTCATTAAATATGTATTGAGCCTCTGCCATGTGACAGGCCCTCTGCTAGGCTGTGGGGGCCCGGAGATGGGCAAGATGCACAGATTCTGCCTCCATGTAACTCACCGTCTGGATGGCTCACAGCTGGTGGATGGTGACAAACCTAAACTGCCAAAGCCTTGTGGAGAAGCATGGGACTCTGGAACTGCAGGGAGGGGGCCCCACAGAACCATCTGGTAGGTGGTGTTGGAATAAGGGCTGTAACTTCTTATTTTTTAAAAAAATAATTATTTTATTTAACTCTATTTATTTAATTAATTTTGACTAGAAAGGGACAGAGAGGGAGAGAGAGAAAGCAAGCTGCCAGATCTAGGACTCGAACCACAGTCAGCCACGTGGGAGTCCAGTGCCCTTAACCACCATGCCACCTGCCAGCCCCCTGAGGGTTGTAACTTCTAAACTGGGACCTGAAGAGTTAGACACATCCCTTGGAGGGTCCCAGGCCAAGGACAGGAGAGGCCTGGGGTGAGAGCAGCCTGGTGTTTGAGAGGGAGCTAACATTTCAGAGTGGGCGGGAATCGTGCGGTGGGGGTCTGCGTGGGCCAAGAGCTGACCCTGGACTGGGCACCTGAGGCCCATGGGAATGCCACTCAGCTACACTAAGCCTACCAGATACCTCCAAAGGGCAGGCCAGGGAGAGGAGAGGAGAGGAGAGCTTACACCGCAGGACCGAGGTAGGGTGCCCGGATGTGCATGCTCTAGGTATCAACCTCACGCCTGGCTGTCTGCGTGACCTTGGATGACTTTTCAACCTGCCTAGGCTGGCAGGAGTCATGGGGAATTTCTTATTCTTGCTTTGCAGGAAGTTGAGACACGAGTGCATGAAAGCTTATCACTCGGCGGGTGGATGGCATGACCGGACACTGGGGGAGGAACTGGGTCTGGGTCTGACAGGGCTGAGTCAGAGCCTTGGAATCCTGCTGTCATACACAGGGGCGACTCCACACCCTCACCCCTGGCCTCTGCAATGAGCCTAGGTGACGCCCGAGGCGAGAGAGGGAAGTGACTTGTCCGAGGGCTCCGGGAGCCCAGCACTGCCGGCTGCCTGTACTAGCTCACCCAACAGGTGCCCTCCATCTCCGTGTGCCGGGCGCTGTGAGCCGCTGGGGCTACCCAGCACCATGGCTGGTCTGAGCTCCCACCCTGAGCTTAGAGGCTAGTGGGCAGAACCACGATAAGGAACCCAGTCATACACAGGGCGACTGCACTGTGGTGAATGCTATGAAGGAAGAACGAACTGGGGGACCAGCAGGTGGCGTGGTGGTTAAGGTGGCTGGATCCCATATGGTCGACTGTGCTGTTGAGCCTTGGACCCAGTAGCTTGAGAAACACACTGAGTGCGTGCGTGCGTGTGCACGTACGTACCACCAATCCTGAAAGGAGAATGGAGGAGAAGAGATTGTGGCATGGCCAAGCCCCACCGGGTGGTGATTTCTCACTTTCCCTCCTGTTGTCCCTCTCCAATGAACATACACACCCTATAGCAAACAAAAAAAGAACAGGTGGGGGGAGAGCAGCAGGTGGTATGGTGGTTAAGGTGCTTGACTCCCACGTGGCCAACCACGGTGGTTCAAGTCCTGGACTTTGTGGCTTGAAAATCAGGCTGTGTGTGTGCCTGCCCAGAACTCCAGGAGAACAGACGAAAAGGGATTGGCATGGACCCAGGAGCGCGATTTCTCATTTTCCCTCTCACTGTCTCTCTCTGGCCAGAGCATGTGCCCTATTGCAAAACAAATGAACAAAAAAACCCCACAAAACCAAGAAAAGAGATTCGAGGTGAGAGAAGGGTGGGTACAGTGTCGGTAGGGCAGTTGGCAGGACCTTTCCGAGAAGGGGCTCGAGTCAATGACGAGGCTTAGCCTTGTGACCAGGTGGAGAACGCAGTGATGCCAAGGTCCTAAGTAAATGAGTTCCTGGTGTCTGGGGTCAGAGGGTGGTGGGGGCAGGCGTGGAGGGGGGCAGGAGCTCACACCAGGGAATTAGGTTGGGCTGAGGAGAGTGGGTTTTTGCCAAAACCAAATTGAAGAGCTTTTACCTGGGGCTGTGAGTCTTCTCAGTCTTGGGTCCATTATGGACTTCTTTTTTAAAATTGTTATTTAACTTTTTTATTTATTCATTTAATTTTAATTTGACCAGAGAGAGAGAGAGAGGGAAAGGGAGAAAGGAAGCCACCAGGTCCAGGACTCAAACCGCGGTCGGCCATGTGGGAGTGGCAGGACCTTGAACACCACGCCACATGCTGGTCCCCCATTATGGACTTCTGATCCTCATCCACCCTGGGAGTCTGGACCATCTGGGTACACCCCTGACCCCACATGGCTCCAGCCAGGAGAGGGCTCCCTCTCTGGGGGAGGAATAATCCCATCCCCAGCCATTGTGGGTAATGAAGGAATCCATAGGGACATCTCACTATTGTGGGGTTGGGTCTATGGGAGCAGAGACTTGAGGGAGATGGGGGCCACAGTGTGCCTTGCTTGTGTGAGTGATGGTGCTTATACTGTTCCCCAGGTGTGCCTTGGCAGGGGTGGGAGGGACAAGAGCAACATGTGCTAAAAGAGGCCACAGAGGTATGGCCCCTGCAGCGGCATCCTCCCTGCCCCTTGAACACCACAGGGAGAGGCATGGCGGTCTAGAATGCCAGCTGCAGGCCACCTGGCCTTGCACCTGGAGCAGGGAAGACTTGGAAGGTCACTCAGCTGGGGACAGATACCCTGGTGTCCTGCCTATAACTAAGCCTCTAAGGAAAATAGGGTTTGCAATGGGGACCTGGAGCAGGAGCCCGGCAGCTTCCCAGACCAGGCCTTGCACAGGGAAGTGGGGGTGGTGGGAACAGTTAGATGAGCTGCTGCCAATGCAACTATCTCTCTCTTTTTAATTTAAAAAAGGCCAGCAGGGGGAACAGCAGTTAGCGTAATGGCTATGTTGCTGAACTCCCATGTAGTTGACCATGGTTCGAGTCCCGGACCCAGTGGCTTAAACTCATGCTGGACACATGTGCATGCGTGCCCAAGATCCCAAGAGGAGAACGGAGGAGAAGGGATTGCGGCGTAGCCATCCCCCCTGGGGTGATCTCTCACTTTCTGTCTCTCTGTCTCTGTCTGTCTGGTGAGCGCACGCGCCCTATAGCAAAAACCTCTCCAAAAAACAGAAAAAGAAAAAGGCCAGCAGGTGGTTAAGGCACTGGCCCCCATGGCCCATCCGCAGTCTAAGTCCTGGAGTCCTGGACCCTGCAGTGTGAAGAGCACTCCGGGCTGTGTGCATAGCCAAAATCCTGAGAGAAGGGAGAAGGGATTGTGGCAAGACCATCCTCCTTGGGGGGTGATTTCTCACTTTCCCTCTGTCTCTTCTGGCAAGCGTCCACGCCCTATGGCAAAAATCTAAAAAATAATAATAACAAAAAAGATTTTAGACTGGACATGTGCTCCCACTTCTCCCCAGACCCACAAGATCCCTTTCAGTCCTCTGTCACCAGGCTGCCTCTGAAGGCATCTGCATTTATGATCCCCAAGGGACCTCAGATGAGGCTTCCAATGTGACATTTCAGCATCTCCCCAAGCTCTAGGTTGAACTCACTCAGATTGGGCGATACTCCAGGAAGGGAGGAAGGAGTAGGAGGTCAGGGCCCTGGCTCTGGAGTGGTACTGCCTGGGGTTCGAACCCTGACTCTGCCATGAGCTGCCCCTGTGCAGTCTCACTGCAAGGTGGTTGCTGTTACTGCCACTTCACAGAGGAGAAAACCTAAGGCCCAAGTGAGAGTCACACGGACATATTCATAATAAAATAATTACATAAAAAACAATTCAATTCTTGAAATTCTCGTTTTGTTGAAATTTCAGTGTAACTGGGTCTTATTTGCTAAACCCGGCAACCCTACCAGCTTGAAACCCAGGGCGGCGTGACCCGAACCTCTACTTAATTTCCCTACTTACGCCACGCCCAATTTCATAAATGGAGAAATCCAAGTCCAGGCGGCCAGACAGCGACCGCCCGGGGGCTGCGACCTCCAGGTCCCTCCGCTGCGCGCCCGGGCCGGGCGGGACCCTAGAAGAAAACAGAAAGGGGAGAGGCGGGAGCCCAGACTCCGCCCCGGCTGCGGAGGCCCCGCCCCCGGCCCAGCGGCCT